ATCACAGCTTTTATAGTTTCTGAGATATAGTCAAATAACTTTTGAAGTTGTATGGCAGGTACCAGAAGGAGCCAAGTAATTTCAACGACTTTTATGAAACACATTGGCCCTACTAATATATTCGTTTGTGTGAAATTTCAATACCATAGCTTTAATAGTTTCTGAAATATAGTCAAATAACTTTTGAAGTTGTATGGCAGGTACCAGAAGGAGCCAAGTAATTTCAACGACTTTTATGGGGCATAATGGCCCTACTAATATATTCGTTTGTGTGAAATTTCAATACCATAACTTTTATAGTTTCTGAGATATAGCCAAATAAATTTTGAAGTTGTATGGCAGCTACCCGAACCGGTACCCCGATCATGTCCAATTTAAATAGGGTTCTGGCACTTACTACAATAAATCATTTGTGAAAATTTGGTGAACTTAGCTCAATTAGTTTTTGAGTTATCGTTGGGACGGACGGACGGACGGACGGACGGACGGACGGACGAACGGACGGACGGACGGACAGACAAAGCTAAATCAACTCAGAATTTGACGCTGATCAAAAACATACACTTGAGTCTATATCTAACACCGTTATTTCTTAGCGTTACAAACGGTAAGGCAAATTTAGTATACCCTTCGAACATACGTTCGTACGGGTATAAAAATATAATAGTTTATATATATTATCAATATTGCTAATTTATATAAACTATTAATAAAATGCAAGGAATGCTAGTATTAATATGTAAGTAATTAAGAGCTTTAGAGTGAATTTTTGAGTTTAAAACTTTACATTTTAAATTTAGTTACTAAAACGTTTCTGTATTTACATTTCAAGAAAGTAGAAATTGCATTTGAACTTATTTTTTTGTTGAAATTTTGTGTACAAATAAAATTTTAATTAAAAATTTAAATTAAATTTAAAAAAAAATTCATATTGAGTTTGATTCAATTTTTAAATTAAAAATTATTAAGCAGAATATCTGTAGGAATTTTTTTAGTTATTTGGAAAATTCTTTTTTTTTTCTTATATAATTTTAATTTTAAAGGTTTTTTTATATAGTATATAACTTAAAAATTTTGTATAACAATTTGGATATATAATATGTAGGTATAGGCATATGGTTATTTTTTTTTATTAATTGTTAATTTATTAATTTACTATAAAATATGTAATGTATAAATATATGGAATGCAGAGGTATTACTAGTAGTTTATATTTTTTTATGATAATTTTAATGAATTTTATGAATATAAAATTTAATAATAATCTATCTAATATTTTGTATAAGAAAAAATAAATTTAAAATTTTAATAAGTAGGAATTGCAAACTAATTTCGCATTTTGTGTTAACTAAAATTTTAATAAATTACCAAAAAAAAAATAATTTAAGAACCACATTTTGGAGTCTATGATTATTTTCAATCGAACGACTTTGTTTTTAAATTTTTAACATTTTATTTATATATGTAAATTTTAATAATTTATTTAAAGCATTTTGTATACATAAAACTAAAAACATAAAATTGTGTTTTAATTTTTTTTCGTAGTTAAGAGTTTTTTTTTTTTGAATACATTATAGCTAGCATCAAAGGGTAATTTAAATTTAAAAAATTTACAAAAACAAAAATCACATTAGTTTTAAATTTTAAGGATATTATTAGTTTTTGTTTTTTCTTAATTTTTCATTCTTTATTAATAATTTTAATTTTAATATTTCGTTATTAATTATTTGGTTTTTTTTGTTTGAAAGTTTCTTATTTCGAAATAATATTAGGCTTCGAAAAAAAATTATTTTTGATTTTCATTTTATTACTATAATTTTTTTAACAGCCTCATAATTTTCAATGATTTCTTTTATTTAATAAAAAAAAAAAATAAAAAATTAGTTAAAAATGTAATAATGTTCACGGCAATTCATGGTCTAAAACTGATTTAAACTAATTTTGTTCAATAAATTTAAGACTTTTTTTGTATTTCTTTAAAAGAAAAATTATTTTCTATATTAAATTTGAATTTGATTTTGCAAATTTTGAATTTATAATTTAAGAAATTCGATAAATTTTTCATAATAACATTGTTTAGTCTAAAATTTACCAAATATTTTAAAATCAATTAAAAAATATTGCAATGACTTGAATAAAAATTATAGTAAAAATAAACATTTTTTTTTAATTTTAATATTTAAGATTCTCGTGAAATATTTACAAAGTTTTAGAATTTTTTGTATGTTTTTATATAGACATAAAGTATCAAGTATCCATACGATATAGGGCTTAATTTTAAAACAATGAAAATTTGCTATAAACTAATTGCCCAATCATATATAATCAAATAGTTTAAAATACAATTCTAATTTTTATTAGATGTGTAAGAAATTGTAGATTTTAAGAATATAAATTTTAGAATCATGAAACCGATTTTTTTCGATATTTTTATTTCACTTTCCAAAAAAAAACAAAAAAAAAAAAAAATTATTACCGATTAAAAATATAAATTGAAATACGATCTAAAATGTTCGTAAATTTAATTGTAATATTTAATTTAGTAATTATACGTGTATTTATTTACATATAATTATAGAAATTATGAATTTAATACCGAAATACCGAATATTCTACAAATTAAATTCTATCATAATATTTTTGATTTTTTCGTTTAAAAATTAAATTAAAATTAAATATTTTAATTGCGATTAGTACCATTATAGGCACTGTAAACCTAAATTTATTTTCTTTTTTTTTTTTTTTAATACATTAAATTTAATTGTTATTTTAATAAACTGTTCACCGTAATATAAACTAAAGTCACTGATTTTATTTAATTGTAATTTTAATATTTTTTTCATATTTTCGAAGTTCATTATTTCCTTTAATCTCAAATTTAAAGCGTTATATTTTATTAATGAATAATAAATAATATTTTTATAATGATTTTAAAATCATTCTTTAATTTGAAAATTTTTTAAAAATGTTTTTTAAAATTTTTCAATTTTTGTTTATTTTTTTTTGGTCATAAATTTCAATTGCAATTTTGGTACAAATTGCAAATAATTATTTTTATTTTTGCCTTTGCACTAAAAATACTCTATTTAAATTATTTTTAAATTTGAATCATTGAAAAAATTTTTGTTTTCTGGCACACAAGGAAAAAAAAGCTAAGAGAAATGAAAATGAAAATAATTTATTTTTAAACATAATTTTACGATTTCCTATATCTCATTCAATTGCAGTATGCCAACTTTAATAGGATATTATAGAATAATTTAGATTAAAATAATAAATGCTAAAATATTACTTGATTTTGAGCTATCCGTTTGGAATTATCAAAGATTGTCAGTAATTTTTTTTTTGATGTATGAAAAGAAAACTCCCTTTTATTCGAAATAAAATACTTTTTATTTTTGCTAATATATTTCGGGTGCTACATACGCACTTTATCAAAACTGACTTTTCTTCTGCAGTCATATTCTGTTAGTCACATTATTGAAAAGAATTTTGGTTTCCAGTTATATAGAATTTCCAATTTTAAAATGAATTTTATTCAGAAAATTACAAATCAAATGATGCGACTATCAAAATATGGGGATGTATACTAGGATCATTCGGAAATATTCTCAAAGTCAGCTTTAAAACTAGTTTAGTAAAAATTAATTTTTATGCTCATTTATTTATTTAATTATTTTTTTGATATAGAGTCTAAAATTTGCGTTTAATAATTAAAATTTTAATTTTATTGAATTTTATGCAAAGGCTTTAAATAATTATTTTACTATAAATTGAATAAATTAAAACAAAAATTGTTCCAATTTAAAATACAAATATTTTATCTTTTTCATAATTTTATTTAATTTATTTTGTTAAGATTTTATTTAATAAATTTTTATTTGCTAACAAAAATAATTATTCAAATTTTTTTTTTTTTCAATGAAGAACAGTCTTGATTCCATCAGTTGATTTTATTTTATTTAATTATTTTTATATATATATATATTTTTTAGTTTTAAATTTAAAATTTATTAAATTTTCTAACGAAACCTCAATATACAAATCCATTAATATATTATATAGAAATATAAAAAGGATTAAAAATGTTTTTTAGTTTCCAATTTGTTTCTTATTTTATTTTCTCATTTTTTTTTTATATTTAATTTTTCGATTATTATAAAATTAATTTTTGTTCTAATTTTCGTATAAAATTGAGAAAATAAAAATTTTCGTTTTTAAATAAATTTTAAACTAAATAATATCCTTTTAATTATTTTTAAGTTTTATATAATTGTCGCATAAAAATCTATATAAATAGCTAAAAATATTATGCGTTTAAAATTGGATTTTTGCGTTTTTATAATTAATATTTTTTTTTCTTACTACACAATTAATACACAAAAATTTGGTAATTTTCATAATATTTTTTAGTTTAATTAATTTTAGTTATTAAAAATTAATTTAATTAATTTTAGTACATAATGCAATACAAAAAATTTTTATTAGTTTAATTAGTTATGCATTCATTTTTAAGAAAAAAAAAAACAATAAGCATAAATGATAATTTGTAATAATGTTATTTTAAATAAAAATTTTATTTGAAATGACAATCATTATTGTTATTAAATATAAGTTATTTTCATTGAACAAACATTGAACTTAAATATAAGTAATTAATTAATTAATAATTTAATTTACAATTCTTTCGTTATTTTAGAATTTTCATTCTTATTATCTACATTCATATATATATGTATATATTGTAAAATGTAATAAGTAAATGTTTGTTTATGTTTGTGAATTTATAAATGTAATGTTGTATGTATAGGTAAATTTAATTAATGTAATTTTTATATTGTATATAAAACGCTTTACACTCTTCAATTTTTATTTACATAAATATATACTTATATATATATATAAAAGTACTAAATTTAAAATATATAATATAGAAAAAAAATAAACACAAGAAAAACAAAATCGAGAAACAAAAAAAAAATAATAATAATAAAACTTACCCTTCATTTAATTTTCGACGTCTTGCTACTGCACTATTTTTAATAATTGATGAAATTTCTCTACCACCACTACTTTCACCATCAGATGTTGATGATGTTGCAGTAACAGAACCAGTTGCACCATCTGTATTTGATGCAGCAGCAGCTGCAGCAACAACAGCTGCATCATTCTCTGGATTACTTCTATCTAAACCGCTTAGATTTTTAACTAAACTCATTGTATCAGAATGTTGTAATGAATATGATGATGATGAATTTTGTAATTGTGATGCTGATAATTCAGTTGAAGATGATGGTGTTATTGTTCCTTTTACCGATTCCTGTTGATTATTCATTTGTTGTTTTACTAATGCTGTTGTTGATGAGGTTGATGAAGTTGGTGATTGAGATTTTATTGCAATTTTTGAAAATTGTTGTTGATTTTGATATTGATTATTTGGTGAATGATGTTGTTGTAAAATATTACTATGTGAATGTTGAAGTGGTTGTAACTGTTGTTGCTGTTTATACATATTTTCTTTTGAAACACTACGTAATAATTTTGCTAAATTTTTTTGTGGATCAACACCATCTTCATCATCATCGTCATCACTTGATGATGATGGTGTATGTGATTTATTATATTGATAATGTTGATGATGTTGAAATAGAAATGGTTCAGCTGTTGATGCTGATTTTCTTAAATTTGATACAGTTGCATGTTTTGATTTACGAAGACGATTCTTTAATTCAGCATTTAAATCGAATGGCATAAAACCAACAGAACCAGATTTTGATTTTAATATACTTTTACGTGGTTGTGGTTGAGGTGGTTCAATACCACCAATTAGATTGGTTGTTGTTGTTGTTGTCGTTGGAGGCGGTGAATGTAAAGGTGGTGGTGAATGAATTAATCCAGTTGTAAATGGTATTCTAGGAGTATCTGAAATTGAATTTTTTATGGTGGTTTTTTTGTTTTTTTTTTTTCAGTGTATTTTTTTTTTATTCCAAAAAACATTAGAGAAAAAAACTTTAAGTTACATGCATAGTTTTTTTTTTGAACTTTAAAAAATTCGGAATCATTAGAAATTTTTTTTTATTTTTTATTTTGTTTTACTAAACATTAAATGTCAAGAAATTTAGAATTTTCGAAAAATGATTTTTATTCTTATTAGTTGGCGTTATCACTGAGAAAAATTAAAATTACAAATCAATATGCTACCTATGGTTTTAAGCAAATAAATAATATTTGTTATTGTTTTAAAAAGTAAAGCTCAATATTCAAGTAAGCCTTCATCTCAATATTCTAATTCAAAAGCCATTGTTATCAAATACTGCAATTACCTGATAACGATTGTTTCAAATTTTAAATTTATTGGATACAATTTGAAATGCTAAGTTTAATAACAATAATATATGAACAGGAGCTTCGTCTAAATTTAATAAGTCACAAAATAGACATTTTCAATAATGTAGACATGCAGTTAAACTCAAATCTTAGTAAAAATTAATCGTACACTTACATTTGAAGATTTTCTAATTTCTTTATATTAAAATCTAAATTAGAACTGAAGTTTTGAAAATCCCCTTTATTATTCGCATACTTGGTAAAGTTCGATAGGAAATCAAATCAAAAACTATTAATTTGTGATCATCTTATTTGTTTGAGATTAGGGGTTCTGATTTGCAACAAGTCTTAAGTATTAACTGCAACTATTAAAAAGCTTTATATTTAACAACATTTCTCATTTTGTAGTTTCTTCAATTTTAAATATTTTCAATTCTAAAATTTTTCTCAGTGATTCTTTAAAATTAAGTATTTTTTAAACAGCAATTTTTACGTTATTGTTAATATAATTTAGAAATAAACTTTAGAATAAGAGAAAATTAATTATAAATTAACATTAAAAATTAATTTATTGAAAAATAATGTAGGTGGATATAAAATTATAAAATAAAAAACACATTTTAATCATGCATAAAGAGATTTTGAAAATTAAAATAAAAAATTTTTTTTTATAAAATATTGAAAAAAAACATTTATGTAATATGTAGAAAGTGATGTAATTTAAGAATATTTTTCTACATTAAGTACTAAAATATTAGTAAGTAATTATAAAATGCTTAAGAAATATTTGAAAAATAATTCATTTCGTATTTTTTTTTTTGTAATTCGTAAAGCATTTAATACATAATAAGAGATTGTTAATAAAAACAAACAAAATTTTTATTTGAAATTTTATGAAAGAAATAGAAATTTACATAAATTTAAAAATAAAAAAAGAAGTCTGTTATTATAAAACAAAAAAAAAAACATTTAATAATAATGAAAAAAATGTGCGAATCAGTAATTTTTTTTTTCTATAAAAATAAAAAAATTAAAAATTATGTAAAGTATTAATTATAAATAATAAAATTGATGGCCTTCTTCAATTATCATACGCTCAGTTTTCAAATTTTTTGAAGATTTTTAAAAAGCACAATGTACAGAAAATGAAAATAAAAGCGCTATTTAAAGAATATAAAAAATAAATTAATTTTATAATATATATATATAAATAATTTCTTCTTTGAATTGTTAAAATATTTATAATAACATAAAATAAGTTTAATGAAATAAAACAACATGCATTTTGATTTTATTTTTGTAATTTAATTTCATAATTTATTTAATTTACTTTATTTTTTATTTTAAATTTCGTTTTAAATAATTTATTTTAAAAATTATCGGATTAATTGTAATTTTTTTATATTATATTTATTTTATAAATTCACATTATATTTGAAATTTTTATTGAATATTTTTAAAATTTATAGAAAATTTTTATTTTTTATTTATTTAATTAATTTATTTATTAAATTCATTTCATAATGATAAAATCTATTTTTGATCATTACGAATGTCATAATCATTACAAAATTTATTTTTTTTTTTTTATTTTTTACATTACAATAGTAATTTTAATTACGTAATAAGAATTGAAAATAATTATAATTTTGTTTTTTTTTTGTACACTTTAAAAATTTTTAGTTTTAAAAAATTTTTTCTGTATATATTTAATAAATAAATTGGAAAAGCACTTTTTATAATGTACTAGGAATAAAAAAACAAAATATGTGTTAAATTTAATTAAATTTACTAAAATTTTAAATTAAATATTTTTAATGTCTTTTTCTAATTTAGATCGTAAAATTGTATTTTATTAACTGAAAAATTATTCGTCTAAATTACAAAATTCATTTTAATTAGAAGTGTTGTAAAAGAGGAAAATTAAAAATAACCGAGACATTATGACGCAATCATTACAATTTTATTTTGTTTGATTAAATTTGAATTGAAGGATTTTGATTAAAATATAAAAAAAAAAAAAATTTAGTATGCCAAAAATAATTTGTAGACTACACGCATGAACGGATAAACAATAAAAAAAAATTAAATCATTCGAAATAATTTATTAATAGTTAAAGAGATGCAATTTATTAAATATAAATTGTAGTGTTAATTTTTTATATTAAATTTGAAATTATTTAAAATAAATATATAAAATAAAGTTAGAAACGTTTCTTTCGTAATTTTTCTAATTTAATTAATTTTAATATATTATAATTGAATGGATTTAACACAATCGAAACAAAAGGTCAGTTTTATATAGTTTTATAAGAATATTTTAATTTCATTTGAATAAATTTAAATTAATTTTGAAGAAAAAGTCAAAATTAATTTCTTTATTAAATTAGGTTTTCTTTGACATAATTATTTATCAATTTTTTAAATTTTCGTTTGTATATCGTTCGTATGTTTCGTTTGAAATTCCAAAGTATCGCTTTTTACTTAATTTTTTTTAATAATATTTTACTTTTATTAAATAAATGATATTTGTAAAGAATACAACACAAATAATATAGCATTTTATTTTTGATATATAATATTATTTTTAAATTTCAAATTAAAATGATTATTAAAATTTAAATGCAATAAAAATGCATATATTGAATATGAGACGAATTAAACAAACATAAATTTTTTAAAGAAATTAAATACTTTTGTTTTTTTTTTTTAAATTAATTTATGATTTTTTATTACTTTTTTTTTTCTATTCTGAATCAATTATAATAATTTGAATTAATTTCGCTTATTAATATTTGTTTAAAATAATTTTGCTTTTCTTTTAAATGCAATTTAATTTATGTGTTCAAAATTTATTTTATTATAATATTTTTTAAGCAATTCTTTTAATTAATTATAAATTCGTTTCTAAAATTTTAAAATTAATATTGGAACGAACTATAAAGAGTTCTTGATTTTGTTTTTTAATTTATTTTTTTATCTATTTAAATTCTAATGTAATATTTTCTTTTTTGTTAATAATTAATTTTATTTATATATATATATAATATGAATACATAATATAAACAATATTGAAGCACGAACATAATTTTTTTGATGAATATTAAATTTAATAAATTTTTATATTTAATTTTATATTTTTTTACACATATTATAATATTGAAATATTTTTTTAATAAATTTTTTTTTTAAATAACAAAAGGTTTGGCGAAAAAAAAAAACAAAAATGATAAATTTAAATATATATAAAACTAATCAACCAATAAAAAAAAAATATTAATAACTAATAAGTTCTTATAATATAATTATTTTTACTAATTGTAATGATCAATAATTAAATTTTAATTACATAGAATATAATAATTAAATAATTATATATACATACGCATTTCGAAATAATTTAATTATTTTTTTTTTTAATAAAAATAATTAATTAAATTTTTAAATGATAAATAATACTATATTTTCAATGATTTTTAAGCGATTTTAGATTTAATATTACTAAAAAGAAAATTTGATCTAACAATTGAATTTGTTGTTCAGCAAGTAATATTGTTGTAATTTTTGAGAACAACTTATTTAGTTCAAAGAATTAAGTTTTCTAATTAAAATCATTTAAATTCTTAGAGTATGTAATTATCATATAAAAAAATTGTTGTTTATTAAACATTGACTACTTCTCATTAATTTTAGAAAATATTCATTTATTCAAAATTTTGCATTTTTCGAAATCATCTTATTTTATTTTCATTGAACTTAATTTTACAATATAAGAATTAATATACATCAATTATAATTTGTTAATACTAAAGTTATTTTATAAATTTTGTAAAATTATATTGAAATTTTCGATGAACGAAAATTTTCAATTGAATATGCAAAATTCTAATAATTTTTCATTCATTAACCATAATAAATTAGGTAAAAAATTTGTTAAAAAATTAAAATAAAAGAAATTTTTAATTGTTGAAATTAAAATTTAAAATGTTTTTATAAATTTTGAAATTTAATAATTGATCTAATGATAAGTCATTAATGACAGCAAATTATTATAAACATGAATTTCAGAACGCAAGATTGTCAAATTTTGGCAAAATATCATTGCGAATATAGTATTAAAAATCAATTTTGTATATGTATATATATATATAAATAAGAAAACCAGAAATACTTTTTGTAAGACAAATAAAACAAAAAAAAAAAAAAGAAAATTGAATAAAGTTTTTAAGTAAATTGTTTTTATAAATCTACAAATATTTTATCAAATTCTTTTGATGCATTTAATAAATCTTCTTTTGTAATATTTAAATCTTCATATCGTTCTATAAAAAAATTATTTTTTCTTAATATCGTATTACTATCAAGAGTCATGGCACGTTTTTTAATTTTTTTCAAAATAGATTTATTAGTGCATTCATTAATTGAATTTTTAATACCATTAATATTAGTAATATTATTGGTATTATATAAAATTTTATTATTATCATTGATATTTGTATTACTGTCATCTATATTATTTGTAAGATCATTAATATAATTTGTTGTAGTAACAACAGTCATACAACGATTTTGTCTAGCAAGTTCACGTCGACGTC